TGAATGCGTCTCCGCAGCGAGATGCAAAAAGCCTTATCTGCTTGCATTTGACGTGCGATGCCGGCTCCTCAGTAGAATGCAAACCCTTGCACAGGATGAAAACAGGTTTGTTGCAAATTCTCCTGGAAATGTTTCGTTCCCCACCGCCGCCACCTTCCTGTTTGAGATGTCAGAGAAGATCTTAATGATGACACGGTGGCAGATACCTCTGCTGCGTACCCTCCGCTGTTCTTTGGAGATGTTAAGGCAGAGATAAATCTTTTATGCAGCTGTCTTTTCATATCTGTAGCGGTTGCTGCACAATCTGCACTTGATTGCAGCTAAAATACTCTTTTTAGGATCCGTTTCGCAAAATGATGCAAAATAAACACAGATGGGAGAAGTGGAGGAGAGAAAGCTGTAATGAAGTAGTGATGGTGGATTGATCTTCCCTCCTTCCCCCCCCTCCAATGCCCTCCCCCAAAATGTGAGCCTTTTCTGAACACAAAATGCTACATTTCTGGTTTAAAGCAGTAAAGATTTTGGGGGCTTTTTGGCTGGGGTTTTGAAGGGAGACTCCCATCAGTGGTGCTTGTCTTACTGACTGACTTTCTTGAATGTCTGTGGCTACCAAGCCCATCAGCCTCTATCTTGCCTTCACCTGTTTTAAAGTATGTCTTGTTTCTTCCGACACCTTGCAGGTCATTCTTCCAGAATGCCAGAGGAAAGTTCGCCAAAGCGGAGTCCTCAAAACATCCCATATAAGGACCTGCCCCATATCATCAATGCTGATGGGCAGTATCTCTTCTGCAGGTATTGGAAGCCAGCAGCAACTCCCAGGTGAGCACTTTCAAGCAAGTGTCCTTTTTTTACTATCAGTAAATAAGACTCTATTAGTGTAATTATTATTTATAGCTTGACTGGCGTTACAGGGCTTTGTGCATGGAGCTTTGCAGAGCCACTAAGATTTCTCTCGTCTGAGAGAGCTCCTACTGTAAAGACTGCATGCTCCCAACCTTTGCTCACTCAAGTTGGCCTTACAGATGTAAAACATGGAGTTACTTTCATCTGATGCACAGCTGGCTTGGTTGGCAGTTCTGTATGCTACCGAGTGGCACATGGAGGTGGCTGATGCCCATCAGCAGTAAACAGCTATCTTCAAACTAGTAGCACAGGCAGTCAGGGAGAGTTGGGATACAGGCTTAGTGATGTCTACTCTCTCTAATTTTGTTAGTGTCAACAAATTAAATATCAGCATCTGATTTCACTTTGAACAGTAGCAGCCGAAATCTCAGGGCAACAGGCAGAATATGGTTTGACTGCATTGATTTTGACTGTTGTTTGGGTTTTTTAATTATTTATAGTTTAGTAAATGAATTAGGGAGCTCTTTCATTGGAAGCTGCGATTTCAAAACTGACCTCGATAATAAACATGGACAAGGAACCAGATAGAGAAATGTAATTTTTTTTTTTCATAATATAAATAATCCCTTTACTGTAATAGCTTTCTATGCTGATTATGATCTGCTATAGAAAGCTATCTCTGTTCCTCCCATAGTTACAGTCTTTCTTCTTTCTCCCAGTATCTGCTGGCTTGACATGTATTTATGCTACCACTTGATATACAGGTAGCTACTTCATAAAAATCTGTGTATTGTTTTATTGGGGTTTTTTTCTGCAAGCCAACAGGAAAAGCTGTGTTGATTTTATACAGCTAGAAAACAGTCACAGGAAAAAGTTGTTCAAGCTGTAGTAGGAGTTGAACTTTTTCCTTGACCAACCAACAGGTTAGACATCATCCTGTGTCCAAATCAGCCTGTAACTGCACTGGGAGATGAATATGGGTCCAAGTTAGCTGGCCTCGCATTTTATGCCTGCCAAACGAAGGGGCACTGTGAATGACGTAGGTGCTTGCCCACCTCCCAGCTCTCAGTGCACTGTCCCCAGGGAGGGGGACTGTGCAGCCACCCCACCATAGCCCCACTGCACTGGTTGGGCTGTAGGACACAGCTCTGGGTTCAAGATCACCTGGTCCACAGAGCATTTTATAGTTACTTCTACTCACTGCCTTTCAGAAACAAGGAGGAACGATTTTGGCACTGATGCTTTACGTAGTTTTTGCACTAACCTGAAGATTTCCTCTACAGGGAAAAAAAATGCTATCAAAACAAGCTTGTACTGTGAAACCAGGCTGTCCTGCATTATAATGCCAATTAATCATTAACTGTTCTTCACCCAGTTGTGGAATTGCTTTCTTTTTTCATGTTTAATTTCTTAGCAAATTAGTAGTGAGGGGATGGGTCTTTGATCAAGAAATGAAAGGATGATAAAGAACTGAGAGTTAAAACTTGGTGTCTAAGTCCTCTGGGTCGTTAATTTTTTTTTTAGGGCTCTGTGTACCAAGCAGTTAATTGAGAGAGAGCTTGCCCTAGTTCTGTGACAACAAAAGTGGATGGGATCAGTGTTGCTCATTTACAAGTGGTTCCTAAGTGCGTGCGTCTGTGTGTGTGCGTTTGCGTGTTTGTGTATAAGGAGGGGGCGTGCTGTTTATTATTAGCTCTTTTTGCATTGTTATGTAGGAGAGAGATGGTAAGTGACTGAATAACAAGTTAGTGCCTGGATCCTACAGTCAAGAATGCTCTTGAAGTGCTTTGATAGGCAAACCAAAAATACATTTTATTTTTTTTTCCCTCCCACTTTTCATAAGTAGCTAAGCTTTTTCTGCTTCATATGTAGAAGCTCAGCAACTTTCATCTAATTTTAAATGTTCAGCAAAAGTGATCTATATATATATATGTATAGGGAGAGAAAGAGAGACACCTCAGGGGACTTTTACAGGCCTGTTGTTACAATTTATTCTATTTCAAATACTGAAGACGATTCTTTCAATTTTCTAACTCAATTGTTGATTCAGGCTGAAATCTTAACGCTAATGAATGACGCTATAACCATCAAATGGTGGGATCCATTATGCATCTAATCCCATCTAGGGCTATAGAAATACCTTTTCACTGCACATGCCCAAAGGTTATCTTTGACTTGGCTTCTATTAGAATAGAACTTACCATCCTTGATCTACGCCCCCCCCAGGGAGGGGGAAAAAAATGGGCTATCTGCCAGAGGAAAAATCAAAAAGTATCCCTAGCCTGAGGTTGAAGAGCAAACAATGGCTAGGCAGTCTCTCAAAGTGCGGCTGACCGACAGACATTGCCCCTCAGAGCTGGTGCTTCCCTTTTATCTCCTCAGACAGACCCACAAAGGTGGATAAAGGCTGTGCCAGACTAATGTGCTGTAGCTTATTTTTTTAAAAAAACCCCAATTTGTCAGGAAGATGGGGAAATTCTGTAAGGCGTTCTTGCTTCGTGCTCACAAATATCCAGGCGCTGATCCTGTGTGGTGTTGATCTGACTGATCAGCCCATGCTGGTGCACATATGGAAGCTTTGTTAGAAGTGCCACCGAGGCCAAGGTTGTCCTGCGAGTGAAAGGCACCTATTGTGAGTTCCTCAGCAGGGTCTGCTTTGTTTCGAAGGGGGATTTAGGTGGTTACTTCACAGGAAGCTGACACACAAAGGCACTCAGATGTCATAATGATTAGATGGGGTAGACAGAGTAGGTAGTAATGGGACTAAGGAAGGTGGGTGACAGTGTTTTCCACTTGTTTTTTGGATGGGAAGTTGCTCCCAAGAGGAGGGCTGGGGACTGGGTGTCTTCTTCTGTTGCTGTCTGCTGGCAGCAATGCAGGTGCGACTTCCCCTGCCAGCGGCCCTGCAAGCTGCCCAACTTGTTAAGCCAGTTTCATCTTAAGATGTAATTAAGTGGTCCTGTTGAATGCAGCAGGGAGGAAAAAGCAGTATGTTTTGGTGTCGTTTTCATGTATCGTGCCAACAACAGGATTTGTGGAGCGTGAAAACAGGTAACTCTTTGGCACTGAGTGCTCACTAGGGAGTGCAGAGCTTAAGATCTGGGCAAGGTGGGGCATTTTCAGGACCATGTAATGTTGTTTGGAGGAAGTAAATCATGGGTACCAAACCAGATTGACCTCGTGCCTATAGCGTGTCCCAGTAGCTGAGGAAATCCTACCTAATGGAGAAGCAGTCTTTGTGTAAACAAAAACAACGGCTCCATGCAAGGCTAAAACCTCAGTCACCACCCTGAACGGTCTGAGTCAAAATATGAGGTAATAGGAGGTGAGGAATTAAGAAACCATGCTCTGTTCCCATCGCTCAGACAAAGCTGCTAAGAATAGAGGTGGGATGAGGAAGGGGAAGGAAAGTTGGGAGGAGAAGTCAAGACATTTCCTTTGAGGCCCCTAAAGGGCCAGGAGAAGTTCAGAGATGACCTTTTTTCCTCTCTGTTCTGTATCCCCATAACCTTTTCTGGATGCTTCAGCTCTTCCTGTCACTGCCTAGATAAGCACAGTTTGTTCTGTGGCACTTTCAGCCCCTCTGCTTGACCTCAAATAAACCTTGTGGGATATATTGACCCAGTGTAGTTTTTCAAAGGTGCTGATAGCCTGCAGCCACCATTGACTTCAGGTCAAGAAAGTGCTGCTCAACGCTCCTGCTGTAGGTCAGCCACTCTGGGCTTGAGACACTACTAGTTAGAGGATGCTTTTGAAAATGTGGGCTCCAGACATCCTTGTATCTGAGCTTCCTCATCAGTCAAATAGAAATCATTATCTGGCTAGTTAATGTGCTGCTTGTGTGTCTCTCCACTCAGTGGTCTCTAGGTGCACTTAGATACTACCAGCAACTGGGGTGGTCTGCCGGAGGAGGCTGCCTGAAGCTGAGACACGTCTGGGTCACAGATGTGTTCCTGGTCCATTGTTAACGTACACTAACATGGGTTGGCTCAACTGTAGACGTCATGACCATGGTTTAAGTGAACAGAGTTGCAGTTGTCTGAGTAAACAGTGCCTTCATAGGAGTTCTTTCAGTTCTACACCTGACAAGTGTGATCAAAAATACAAAATTAAGCAAACAAAAAGCACACGCTTTTCTATTTACTTTTAAAATTTATTTTACTCTTTGGAAAATGCCTGTCATTCATTCTGACTTGTTTGCAATGAAAGGCCAAGCCAATAAGGAGAAAATATATTTCTTTCTTCCCCAAGGACTTTACAGAAGTGCCTGTGGTACAGAAATACAAACTGCCTTTGTATTTGAACTGGCCCTTAAATTGTGGATATTGCTTGCTGATTTTGGCACCTTATTACCAGCATTTCCATGGCATTTCCAGAAGAACAGCACAGCTCACAGCATGAGCAGATGACAAAGTTGAATTTGACTTTCAGACCCTTCCAAAATGAATAAATAAATACATAAACCAAAATGAAGTAAAAGCAAAGGGAATCAAGCCACTAATTATAATGTCTTTAATTATACTATGCAGTGTTAGTCTCTAGAAATACTTAAAGTAATTTCTAATTCAGTGGCACTCTGGAAGAACACTTTTGTGTGTACTAATGAGGTCAACTTCAAACTAAGGCACCAGGGCCAAATTTCTATCGTGGAAAGTGACTTATGTCAGCGCAGTTTGTTGTAGGATGAATTCAGCTCCCTCTGTGTCTGATCACATCATACACAGTGCACAGGGGAAATAACAATTACCATTGTCAAATCAACATTTCAGGCTTTGCTTGCTGTACTGCTATTGCCTGAGTTTCTAAAGCCTCCCTTCTGCTCATCAGCCACGTATGTGTTCCTTTAATGCCTATGTTCTCTTTGCTCCATGTGACTGTCTTATTCACTGTAAATGGGGGCATCCTTTTATGATTTCTTATGCATTTCCAGAGGATGGGCAAATTAGCAAACCAGCTTCACATAAGAGGGACTCTGA